GTGGGGGCTCTGAGGAGACGGGGGGGATGCGGGAGGTGGGAAGCGCAAGGAAAGGGGGCAGCATCTGTGGGAGCTGGGTGGGCAATGTGCGGGGTCTGGGGTTCATGGGAAGGTAGCACAGTCTGCAGTAAACGCTGCTGGGGTCACCCGCCTTTGGGCAGGTGTGTGGTGGGGTGAAGGGTGGCAAGGCAGCTGGTGCAAGAAGCCATCAGCAGCCAAAGCAATGCCCGCTCAGGCTCAAGAGCGTGAACTCCCCAGTGGTCCATCTCCGGCTCTTCAGAGTTGTGCTTACACTTCAGCTCCCAGTGTCTCCTGCCTGCGTCTGCTGCATGTGTCCATGCTCAATCTGCCCACTATTGGGGTGCCAGTACTAAACCAGCTTAGTATAATCCTACTTCCCGTTGTCAGACCAAGGCATGTACTGTTTTGTTTTTCCACGCTTGAACGACCACTTGTCTGTCATTGCTGTAGGCTTACTTCTGCTTATGTTGGGCAATTTGCCCTTTCATCTTTCCCTATGCTTTTATCCGTTCTATATATGTATTTTGCACCATTGTATCTGCTCAACATAATTCTGCCTCTCTGTGGGATGCGTAGCTGATCTGTGCACACAGGCCCACTTTCCGTGCCTGGTATCATCACCCTGCTAGCTGAGGGTGAGGCAAACAGCTCCATGACTTGACGTGATGTGTCACTGCTGTGCCCCTCCTGTCCTGTGCTGAGCCCGTGTTTGGAGTGCCTGTGGCTCTGTGGTTGGCACAGGCTGGGTGCGCTCTGGCTGTTGAGGGAAATAGTCCTGCTCTTCCTCTGGTCTCTGGCTGTGTGTTCACGCCGCCTCTTTGTGTCAGCTTTAGCAATCATGTGGTTCTGGGATGTGGAGGAAGTTGGAGAAGGTTTGAATGGCTCACCCCTGGCAGAAGTTGGAGTTCCTGTTCTTCCCTTCTTTGCTCCTGTCTCTGCTGCCAGCTTGTCCCTGGCTGCTTCAGCCACATGTTTTTCTGGTGACCGTGACTGGTATTGTTGGATCCTTTAAGGAGCTAGCTGCCCTGGCAGAAGAGACTGGATGGTTTTTCTGCTAGGTTAGTGAGTTGAGTCAGCGTTGCAAAGGGTGCGAAACCTACTAAAGCTTATGGGGAGGAGGAAGAGGGAACTTCACTGCCAGAAGCAAGTCTGGAGGAAGGCATTAGGGAGTGAGACCTCCCCTGAGGCAGCAGGGAGCTTTTACATTGGCTTAGCTGTTCCACAAAACTTTTTGCCCCGAGTTGGACATGCTTGCTAGTATATGTACTTTCTGGCACAACTATGTTTAATGTGGGTCCATCCTATTTGGTGACAATGCAGTCTTAGATTGTCTTAATTTAACCACAGAACTATACCATTAAATATAATTTTGTGTTGTTTTTTTTTTTTAATTCCCAATACCTGCTGAAGAATAGAGTACACTTGAGAATGCAAGAAATTGTGACTAAAATTTGTGAGCAGAAGTGTGCTGCTGTCTCTACAAGTTAAGACATACTAGTTCATTTGAACTCACTATCATTCTCCTTTTGCCCCTCTTGATTTCTTCCTTTCAAGGAGAGAAAGTGTGGAAAACCCTTTGTCAGGGTCTTCTACTACGTTGTTGTCTTTTTGACAGTCTCTGATACTACTGCCTTTGAAGAAATTGCAGAAAATCTTATGGTGTAATCACTTGATGCCCCCAAAACATCCTTCCAACCTTTAACTGATAGGAAGCAGTTAAAATCGTGAAGCAAAAATCTTGTAGTATTTCTGAAAAAAGTTCATATCTTTTATTATTAGTCATTAGTACTTGCTGTTATAACATTGCTCATTCTTAGTGTTCATATGAATTGTCTAAATCAAATACTAGAAACCTTCTAAATGAAGTTTACTGCAATGGTTTTATTAAAGCATGGTAGAGACACTAATGCAGAGCAAGGTCATTACAAAGTCCTAGCATACTTGCAGGGAGCAGTGTGGACATAAAGCACCTTCTTGTGCCGTGTTCCTTATCTTATAGCAAAGCAGAGCTGCAGCTTTCTCCTGACCTTGCTGTGCAGGTAGGTGTAGTCTCTGTCCCTTCCCATCAGTATACCTGTTGGAGCAGTTAAATAAACCTGTTGGGAGGCATAAAGTAAACTGTGACATTTCTATACACTATCTTATAGTCGTGGAGAGAACTGGGAGGACATCGGTGAATCAGAGTTCCTGAGTCACCAAATCGCTGTTTTCACAGGGAGCTATTTAAATCTTCTAAAACATGCTACTACATACAGCTTCAGACACATGGCTTTCTTGCTTATCTCTTTCTTATGAAGTTCATGTTGGTCTCTTTTGGCGTTGAGATGTAATTGAGAATATCATAGTTACCTGAATCAAAGAAATAAAGGTTTGTTTGCTTGCTTAAAATGCATATAAAGGGAGCATGGGTTGTTGCTGTTGAGTTGCTGATATGTGATTAGATAATAATGGCTATAAAGATTCACGTCAGAAGTATGGTGGGTTATTTCATAGTAAGGCATGCTTTTTTTGTTCCCCCAGTAGATGAAGAAGTCTTTGAGTTATAAAACCTGAAGCAGTGATGGCCTATTGCATCACTAGGTTTGTAAACTTATGACATACCAGATCAGTTTGAGGTTGGAAGCTTGAGGTTTAGAAACTGATTTCAAAAAGGGTAATGAAAAGGCTATGAATTCAGGCACGCTTGCAAATTTGTAATCTTTTTTTTTTTAAACCTACTTTGAAAATAATCTCCCTGAAATCACATGCTTTTCCTTCATGACTCCCTCTCTTACAAGTGTGGACAGACCAAAGATCTAGCAAGGAAATGCGTTTGCAGTTCTCCTACAGTGTGTTGATGACTTCCTATCAAATGAAGAAGTTGCTTAGGGAGGGGCCTTGGAGCAGTCCTTGAATAGTAAGAACTGAGCTGTGCTGGCCAAGTTCTATGTATATAATCAGGAATTCCTGGAGTGGTTTTTTGATATGAAAATAGTATTGTGAAATAATACATTCTCCTTATCTTTACACAATGAGAATTTCAGTTTCAGAGTTCAGAGGAACAGGCTTTTACACTGATGTTCCATTTTTGTGTTTTTCTTGTAACTAAAGAACATTTTTTCTTAATGAGTGAGGTATGCAGTGTAGCAACCACATGAATCACTCTCAACCTAAATTTTTAGAAAGGAGAAGCAAGTTTAAGTGATGGGGAAATACATCTGCTGTAAGTAACAGTTAACAAACTTGATAAACAACAAATAACAGAAAAAGCAAAATTCTGTTGCTTGCAATGTGTGCAATTGTAAGAACTCTATAGAAAAACCTTCAGTCTGTTCCAGTCTTTAAAAATGCATCAGTAAAAAGCTGTGTATTTTTGAGATAATTTCTTTGTCCTTATCTGTTAGATTTTTTTAAATTTAATTTTGTATTCACTTCCTGAGAGCCAGCTGCAGAACAGATGATGGATGACCAAGGTAGACGAAAGAATATAAATGAAACTGCTGCCAGTTACCATTCTTACTAAAAGTATATCATGGGTAGTTTTTGCGTAGAACTGGTGGTTATAGTGTATTTCCTTCAAGCGACTTGTCTGAGGAGTCTTCCATTTAGATTGAGCTAAAGCACTGCTTTGTGTAGGCAAGCCTGCAGTGTCAGTAAGGCTGATTTGTCACTGAAGTTCCCTGCTTTTGTGTGTTGGTTTTCTTCTTCTGTGGCTTTGATTCTGGTCTATCTAAATGGGCCCAGCTGAGATGCACCTCATGCATATGTAGAGGATACAGGCTGAATAGTTCACTCATGCCACTTTATGGCTTTCTAGATTTATGAATTTTTTTCTCTCTTCTTTAGTACTGTGTAACCAAAGTTTAGTCACTAAGCATCTGTTTCCCAGGTAACAGGAAGTGTTTTGTCCCTTTAAAATATGAATAATACAAGAAAGTGACTTATTTAACCTGTTTGGAGTAGGTCTTGTTCAGTGGTCAGAGAAATTATTGTTATGTGCCTAACCCATACACTTTGGCCTGCTTATTACTTTCTGAAGAAAATGTAGAAATCGGAACATCAGTAAACTTGTCCCTGCTGTGTTGACTTCCAGTGGGTATGGTGCTGCAGTGCAGCCTGCTTCCTAACCTGCTGCATTACAGTACTACGAGTAGCAAGTAAACCGCTCTTACTTATTCAGCATGGGTTTGTAGCGTGGGTAATCTGTGTGTGGTTATGGGATCATTGAAATCACTGAGGTTGCTCACTTGGGTAAACTCAGCCACATATAAAGGTGCTAAGAGGTATGTGACCAAGAACTCTGCCTGCACACAAAAAAATCTGTTTGTTTTGCTGAGACTTACCTAGCTGTTTTAGGAGAAATTTCCAAAGAAATGTTTGGTCTGGGCTTTCTGCCCTTGGCGTTTGGGACTGAAAGCAAGTTTGTAACTTACTTGGCAAGTCAGGGTGGAAAGTGTTGCAGAAGAACAGAAAAAGAAAGATACAGTAAGTCTAAAGAGAAAGCTGCCAGACATTTGCTTGTAAGTTCGCATTTACCATTTTTCATACTTATACTGGAAATTATGAACATAACAACCACATGTGATTGTAGAACAGCACT